CTGGTCTGTATGTGGGATCCGAACCCTCGGCGGGAGCGCCGCCGTGCTCCCAAGCAGCACACTGTAGCAGTGCACCACCGGGCCGGCCCCAGAAAACCTCAATGATTTTTAAAGTAAACATTTTGTAGTTTAAATTCTCTGATCAAATGTAATAAAATTAAAGAAAAATACAAAGTTGCCCTCAAATTTTAATCTCCTTGGAAATTAATATGCCTACTTCTAGATAACTCTTAGATCAAAGAAAATATTAAAAGGGAAATTGTAAATTATATTGAAAATAGTGAAAAGGAGGGCCGAGCCCGTGGTGCACTCGGGAGAGTGCGGCGCTGGGAGCGCAGCAGCGCTCCCGCTGCGGGTTTGGATCCTATATAAAGATGGCTGGTGCGCTCACTGGCTGAGCGCGGTGCGGCTGGTCTCAAAAAGGACAAAAAAAAAAAAAAATAGTGAAAAGGAGGATACTTCACCTTTGGTAGCCATTAAAAACTGTACTTAGAGGAGAAGTTTTAGCTTTTAATGTCATTATTATTAAAAACAAAAACCGAAGAGATGGAATAATGATTTCACTTAAGAAGTTAGAGAAGGAAAAACAAAATAAGCCAAGAGAAAGTTTTAGCTTTTAATGTCATTATTATTAAAAACAAAAACCAAAGAGATGGAATAATGATTTCACTTAAGAAGTTAGAGAAGGAAAAACAAAATAAGCCAAGAGAGATGAGTTATAAGAAAAAAAATCTGAAATTAATAACAAATGAAAATTAGAAAAAAGCATAAACATATTCAAAGTTCATTTTTAAATACCCGTAAAATAGATGAGCACCTTATAGTCCTGATTTAAAAAAAAGAGAAAAAGTAAAGTTTAAGAATGAGAAAAGAAACATGATCACAGAGAGGTTTAAAATGATTATAAAAGTGCATCAGGTAACAAATTTCAAAACCTAGAAAAAAGATTTGGTAACAAAATTAAAGTTACCTGAACTGACTTAAGAGTAAATTTATTCATAGAGATAAAGAAAAGGTGATTATAAATTTAACATCGAGAAAGTCACCATGATCAGACATTTTCACAAGTGAGATTCAACTAATCTTTAAGAGCAGGTCATTGTCATATTATTTGGACTGTTAAAGAAGGAAATCTTTCAAATTCATTTTATCAAGACAAAATAACTTTAAAATAAAACCTGCCAAAGATGGCCAACTAAAATCATATATTACTCTAATAAAAGAATATAGAAGATAATTCTCAAATTTTACCAAATACTGCAATATATCAAAAGAATAATGCATTTCACAGCACTTATTTTTTCCCCCAGATTTTCAGGAGTTGTCGAATATCAGGAAACCTATCAACATATCAACTGTATCAACACATTGAAGGAAAAATGTCATTATATCAATAGATGTTTAAAGGCATTTGAAAGAAACTAGTCATTTCTGTTAAAATTACTAAGTAAAATAGAATATAATAAAATTAGAAAACATAAAACCACTGAGCAAATACTTTAAAATATTATCCCTGTACTAGCCAGCCACCCCCACCAAAAAAACCCCACAAAAAATAAATTTTAAAGCACTAAAATGATTTTAATTAAATTAATTACTAGATAGGGATACACATTATTACCATTACATTTAACGTTATTTTGGAAGTGCTATTGAATGCAGTAAGGTAAGAAAATAAAATAACTGATATAAACTTTGAATAAAAAAGAGTCCAAATTAAATTCTTTTTGCTATTGATGTTATTGTATATCTAGAAAATTCATGAAACCCTACTAAATATCACTAGATTTAAAAAGGAGAATTTGGTAAGGAAATGGATACAAGATAAAATTTTAAAAGGCAATATTTTTTCCTTACTTTAATAAAATATTCAGAAATAGAAATGAGAAAAAAATTCCATTTATCATCACTGAAAAAATATAAAAATATAAAATATAGGAATAAATTGAGTAAGAAAGATAAAGTACCTGTATAAAGAAAATTATACAATCTTACTGAAAGAAATTAAATAAGATTTAAAAATATTAAAAGGTATACCATGTTGGATAAGAATACTTAATAACACAAACATTAAATACATACACTTGATGAATGTATAAACACAATGTACTCAAATTAGAATTGGCATTTTCTTTCAGGGGAATGATTGGTTAAAGAAGATTAAACTTTATACAGAAGAATAAGTACCCCCAAATAGCCAAGAAAATACGCAAAGAGAGAATAATAAAAGGCTTTGTCTTACTGGATACTAGAATATATAATAAAACTACTGCATCTGTTAGACACATGGTATTGGCAAAGGAATAAAATAAAGAACATGGAAATAGAGCCCAGTATTGATGATATTTTAATATATTGCCAAGGTAGCAGATCAGTTTACTGGGAGAGAAATGGACCAATTATCTAATAAATGATGTTTGGACAATTGATTATTCATATGGAAGAAAGTAAAAGTGGATTCCCATCTTATTCTACATTTAAATACAAATTCCAGATGTCTGAAAAGCTTACATGGTCAAAATAAAATTGTAAAAGTCTTGCAAGAAAATCTAGAAAACTAAATGTATAAAATGTATGGACTGAGAGCATCTTTTCCAGAGCTATAAAAGAAAAGATAGACATATTTGAGTTTATAAAAGCTAAGAATCTTGATATCACAAAAGATATAAAACAATAGATGTTTAGTCTAGAACAAAATATCTGTGACTAATTTGTTCAAATAGCTAAACATTTGACAACCAGACAAACAACCAATTGAAAAATGGGCAGAAAATAGTGAATCCAAATGGCCAACAAATATATAAAAAGGTTGTCACATTCATTATTAGTAAGGAAAATGCAAATTAAGGTAAAAATAAAATGTAATTTTACACCAGACTGACAAAAATTGAAAAGAACTATGATAACTATTACCAGTGGTGATTTAGGGAAAGGATCACTGTCATGGCTGGCAGAAATACGAGACGTTATAGGTTTGGGAAAGCAAGCTGCCAACATCTATTAAAATTTTAAAAATCTGTAGTATGCTTTTTGGCCCAGCAATTCCAGTCCTTGGACTCTATTCCATAGAAAGAGAGGCATTAGTATGTAAGGCCACGGGTTTGTAGTGGCAAAAAATCTCATTAAAAATGATGAATTAAGTGGCCTTGTCTGCAGTCTTTCTTTTCAGCTTGTGCTGACACCACCCTGCTCTCGTTAGTGACTGACCCACTGGATCCTTGAGACCGAACACTGTGCCTTCAATTAAGTTGCAGAGTTCTGATGGAGAGATATTTGAAGTTGATGTGGAAATTGCCAAACAATCTGTGACTATCAAGACTGTGTTGCTTGGACATGAGGGGTGACAATCAGCTTTGTATCTCATGAATATTCATAACCAATTAAAAAATATTTTTAAATGAGAAAAAAAAGACCATGCTGGAAGATTTGGGAATGGATGATGGAGATGATGACCCAGTTCCTCTACCAAATGCTAATGCAGGAATATTAATAAAGGTCATTCAGTGGTACACCCACCACAAGTATAAACCTCTTCCTCCTGAGGATAACAAAGAAAAGTGAACAGATGATATCCCTATTTGGGACCAAGAATTCCTGAAAGTTGACCAAGGAACACTTTTTGACCTTATTCTGGCTGCAAACTACTTAGACATCAAAGGTTTGCTTGATGTTACATGCAAGACTGTTGTCAATATGATCAAGGAGAAAACTACTGAGGAGACCTGCAAGACCTTCAATATCAAAAACGACTTCACTGAAGAGGAGGAAGCCCAGGTACGCAAAGAGAACCAGCGGTGCAAAGAGAAGTGTAATGTTGTGTCTGATGCTGTAAGGATTGTTCCAATACCAGTTGCACTGCTCTGCTTATCGCTGTTAGTACTAGACAAACAGTAGACAAATGCAGCAGCAAATCAATTGTACTAGCAGAATATTGTCCTCATTGCATGTGTAGTTTGAATACAGGTTCCAAACCTATGGAAGAGTTTCATCTAGTGGGATTAAGTTTCTTTTTTCTTTGCTTTGAATAAAACCGAATGGTAGGTTCTTTTTTATAATGTGATTTTTGCCTCATTTATTGTCCATTTAACTTTAGTAACCTTTTAAAAGTTGGCATTGTAAATAAAACGACTTGCTAAAAGTTTTCTAAAATAGAATTAATAAAATACTTTTATTCATGAGTTGGAAACTGGAAAAAGGCAACTTGAAGTAAATGTTCTGATTGGGGTTATCAGGATGTCTTCCAGCCTCCTAGAGTCAAAGAGTACCACTGGTATTGATTAGCCTGTACGTAGAGGGTCTCCTTTAATTTGACCTGAGGACGTGTATTTTTTGTTGTTGTTGTTCTTTTTGAGACCGGCTGCACACCGTGCTCAGCCAGTGAGCGCTGTGAGCTCACCGGTCATCCCTATATAGGATCCGAACCCGTGGCAGGAGCGCTGCTGCGCTCCCAGTGCTGCACTCTCCCGAGTGTGCCACGGGCTCGGCCTTTTTTTTTTTTTTTTTTTTTGAATCCTCTCAGCTTTGAATATATTGCCCGGAGACTTAGTTACTACCTACTTTGTGTTTTTTTTGTGGAGGGAGAAATGTAACTAGGCTGTTCCTTAGCTTTTCAATTAAAAAAGATACTTAATCTACTCTCTCTCCCCCACAAAAAAGAAAAAAATAATGAATTAGAGTTATGCCTATTAACTTGTAATAATTTCCACAAGGTATTTTTGTGTGAGAGGAGCAAGATGTAGAAATTGTAAGATCCTCTTTTGTAAAAAAAAAATAATATTCATATATGTAGACATATTTAAATGTACATTTCAGCATAGGATTGTATGGTCAGGGAGAGAAATATGGAATAGGCTATGTGAATAGGCTATGTGAAAAGTGAAGAAGAAAGATTGGTGGCTTCTTCACTTACTAAGGAAGGATACTAGGCACTATTGAGGATATTTAAAATCATGCGATATTGACTCTGAATAAAATTCCCAATGAGAAATTCAAACAATTAAAGTGTGCCAAATCAACCACTTTGGAGGATATAGGTGTTTGATATTTGTGTATGTATATGGATCATATATATGTATGAATATATGTAATATAAATTTTTTGTCATTTTTATTGCCTCACATTTTTGCCAGTAGATGTTATATAACCCATAAGTAAGCAATAGATTTTTAAAAATTCTTTTAAAAAAGTCACAGCTCAGATGCCTTATAGTAGCACATATAAACATATATTTTACATTTCATTTTCAAGCATTTTAAAGTTCAGAATCCCTTAAAATTCTTGAAAAATATTCATTTCACATTATATGGCTTCTCAGTCCCAAATTACACATCTTGCTAGTATGTGAAGCAGGAAGCCCTTCGGAGAAATTGGCAAAGGATAATGGCATGTAAAATAATGTTCATATCTCATTTCCCAACCATAAGTAATAATATCCACAATATAAATATAAAATACACTCCTCAGAGTTCACATCCACATAACTGGCTTATTTGCATGAAGGATTTCATGCTTAAGATGGCTTTAACCGGGCCGACCCTGTGGCGCACTCCGGAGAGTGTGGCGCTGGGAGTGCAGCGATGCTCCCCCCGTGGGTTCGGATCCTATATAGGAATGGCCGGTGTGCTCACTGGCTGAGCGCGGTGCGGGCAACACCACATCAAGGGTTCTGATCCCCTTACCGGTCACGAAAAAGACAAAAAAAAAAAAAAAAAAGATGGCTTTAACCTTCTGGGAGACACTGAGACTCTTATAAAGAGCAAAGAATTTTCTAGTTCTAACTCCCTACATTTTTTTCACAAAAATTGTTGGGTTCTATTTGAAATTTGTTATTCTTGAGTCTGTCTCTTTTGGAAGAACATCATTAAATTATAATTGCACATGTGTTACCTTTTTAGAATTCACAGATAAGAGCTGTGCATGATTTGTATTTACAAAGCACATGTTGAAACCAGTATATCAGGATACTATTAGGCACAAGTAAGAGAAACCTCAGTCAATAGTGACTAAACAACAAAACAAAACAAAAAAATAGTGACTAAACAAAATGAACATTTATTGTTCTTGTTTAAAGAGTCGGTAGATAAGTAGTTCCAGGGTTGGTTTAAAGGTTCAACATTGGGGGCCGGCCCGGTGGCGCACTGCTACAGTGCACCGCTTGGGAGTGTGGCGGCGCTCCCGCCAAGGGTTCGGATCCCACATACAGACCGGCCGCTCACTGGCTGAGCGAGGTGCGGG